AGAAAATCGTCCACAGTCCGAAGTTTGAATCGCTCACCAGTGATTAATTCACATCTGATATATCCCATCAAACACACTACTTCGAACCTTTTAGTGAAGCTCACAGAATAACAACGGCGCCGAGAGTCTTTTGATGACGAATCTCAGCGGTCTGGGAATCGTAGGTCTATCCCCCAAAGGATATTTTCGTGAGGGGCAATGGAGGCGGTTTCCGCGAGCTATCTGGACGAAAACCACGATAGGAGATTCGATTCAACCGTGGAAATGTAGACGCAGTCAAGAATATTATACGATCAGACACCTCGAGAATATCCAGACTGGAGACTCCAGTGATGATGTGCTCTTGACGATTTATTGCACATTGCGATTCACACTATGTCGATCAAGGGTGTTGATGTAGCGTATCACCGTCCATACTTTACCAATGGTAAATTATCCTGATTATTGGACAATATGCTCAATGATAGTGTAACTTATAACGACCTAGCTATATGTTGAACTCGAGCCATCTACAACACGTAAACATGATGTGTCATGGTCTCGATAACTTATCGGCGATAAGTGACAGAGGCGTGCTTGACCAGGCGTACCAAATCTAATATTTCTCACCCCAGGGCGTGAGTTCGAAGACGTCACAGAGCGCATCATGCCTGTCATTTGTTGTATCACTTGAAGGCTAAGACCTTGAAACCCAATTCACCGAGTCAACCTTCGAATTCCCATGAAACTGCTCTTAAGAGATTTAGCTACAATCACGCAGCATCACGTGTTCGAACATTTCAAGTTCAATCTCTGGTCACAGAATTTCAGTTTCAATCATACTCGAGAGGGCACCCATTAGCGTAGAGATCTATGTGTATACGGATAATCAGCTAGTCTCCACGGCTCATTTAAATTTAGCTTTTTCATTTGCAGCCCTATTCAGTGGGGCAGGTCGCACCTGAGTGATTGCGTGAAAGGTTTGGGCGCGCTCTTTCAGGGACGCCCATTCCTGACGCGCGCTGATGCCATCATGGCACATGTCGCAGTTTTGGTTAAAGCAGGTGACCAACACCAAGCGACGTCGACTGAAGCAAACTCGGGCGACCTATAGGGCCTACCCAACCATGGATAACACCGTTAATTCTGTAGTCCTCGAAGCTACATAGAGTATGAACTTCTTGAAGTTAGTGCTCATAAAACAACCATCTTGATCACTCACTATAACCCTGGGGTAACCGTTAGCGTCAAGGAGTTCAGTGGTGCCGCACTCCAGGAACATCGACTACTCCAGGAGACTCAATAACAGTCGCTGCCATAAACTTGCTTATATAACAAACTAAGAGTAGTACCCAATACTTCTTCCAATTAGATTATTTAATAGGACCACATGAATCTGCACCGACCACACCCCATAATAACGGCACTCATACTTAGTAGTCGCTATGGCCTTGGTCAGAGTACGGCCGTATTTGGATTGTGAACATATCACGTAAGAGGTGACCCAGTGCTTGACCTTACGGTACAAACCCTTGAAGTCGCATACGGCACGCGATAATCCGACAGTTTTAGTTATGCCAGGATGACCATAATCATGATGGAACTTGTCTATAACTTCGTCTTGTAAAGCACCGTCAGGAATAATCATAACTAAGAATCATCACTGGCAGCGTTCCAACGGCGACTCATTAGCAAACCGGATTCTTCATCGATAGGGGATAATCTAGGCTGCGAACAAGCAGGATTAGCTCTCAACTTGGCTAGCAGGTCTACACATGTGGAGTTGCAGCTTGAGACACTTTAACACGTGGTAGAAATTGCTCCATCCAAGAAACATAAGTATCACTCGTATCGGCACAACACGACGGATCAGCATCTCCACACTCTGATCTTCCAATAACACCATCGACATTGGAGAGATCGTCGACTTCCACATTATCTTCGGTGAGGTTAATGTCATCGGAATTGAAGTTAACAATACAAGCTTCAACCAAGGCGTTGTTAACCAAATTCCAAGACCGAGTCATTGGCTCGCAAGCACCACAATGGCGTGTGAGTCGGTCAGCAACATCAAGTGAGGGAATGTCTCTGAATTTGATATCAGGCATTACCTTGGCTGAATGAATCTCCTTCATCACAGAACGTATATGGCTCAATCTTCCCCTCTCCGGAGGTGAAAGCTTCTCCAATCGACTGCTGGTTGGGTGTCGAAGTGCCAAACGTAATCATTGACAATAGTCATTCTCGATATTTTTGATTGGAAAGTGGTGATGAGAGTAACCATTACTGGAACATCCATACGGACTGACTCCAATTCCCCTCTGGGAATTGAGCCACTACTGTGGGTAGATATCCTTGATAGAAGGCGTTCGTCATTAACACGCGACCTTTCGTCTTCCGCTATGGCTGACTCACTAACGTCAACAAATATAACCAGGTCTTCTATAGATGCGTACCGAGGAGGGAGAGTACGGGATGGGGATGTCAAGTTGTTGTGCATTCACGTCCAGGTTCGACCCATCTCTCAATTTTCGAGAGTTTAGAACCCACAGGATATCTGGCAGTAGATTATACCAATTGGCCGACGAACCTTGATGTGAACGTTCAAGCTCTAATAGGCAACTTCACAATGCTCCATATAAGACTTGATAAGGACGTTCATACCCTCCTCCTAAATGAGGACTGTACCGAGGAACTAGCTTATGACAAATATTCACTTTAGTACAGTAGTCTGAAAATATCTTACTTACAAACTCCTTACCATTGTCCGTTATTACTATATACGGCACACCAAGCAATTTGCAAGTGTCCATGAAGGCAGAAGTAACACTCTGAGCAGACATACCCTTCAGAGGTCTTACGCTCATGAACCAACAATATAAACAAGTCGTTGTTAACAAATATTCATAGCCAGTAGAACTCTCAGGATAAGGTTAGGTTATATCAGCACCCACTAAATACCAAG